TTTCCATTTCGTCAAGCCAGTGTAGACTACATACAATGATTATTACAATGTTTAATCTTCATCCGATAGGCCGAAGTGAATTCATTGGCGTTTCAATGCGCTAGGACGAGTTTAGAATCCGTAGGCCGAGTTTGGTGTCAAGAAGCAGTGTTAGACTTTTGACAATATCTCAACGATTGGTTTCTCTTTATCAAATCTTACGGTACATACGGAAAGGTAAATAAATTTGGAAGCCATCAGTAATAATAACATTCCGTTTGGTGCTAAACTACGCTAGATAAAGAAGGACTAAGTGCGGGTTGTGCTTAATAGGCCGAAAATGGGGTAGTTAACCCTATAATGACTTCATAATTCCGAAAAAAACATGTTTCCGGGCGGAATAAGTTTCATCAAGCCTTATGATGGTACACAAGATGGGTCGCAAGTTTATATAAAATTTAAAGTGTGGTTCGCAATCAGGGAAAGACTGAGATTTAAGAATTCTAATGTAAATTTTTCATAAATGATGCCAATTTAGAATTCTGTACTATCTAATAACTATTCTTCGAACTTTTAGGCAGTTTGGATAACAATTTAGCCAACGTATAAGATACTTACCACAGACAAACAGACATAACACATTGAATATTTCTCACTGTAAAACATCGTCGTTAAAACATTACCGCCCTCTGTTGAGTACAATGTGGTGGGTAGTACGCTGAACAGATGACGGTAGTGTGGAAACGTCAAACGCAAGGGAATTGACTATGCGCGCCACAGGTGGCGGTACTACCAACTAATATACTTTTAAATTGACCGATAAATGCTTGTTCGATGAACATCTTGCGAGTGTTATGTCTGTTTGTCTGTATACTTACTTTACTTTTGCTGATCCGACGTCCCTCGGAACCTAACCTGTATAACAAGTTGCGCCAACTAGCTCGGTCCCTGGCTGCTTGTCTCCAATTTCTCGAACGTCCCACACTTCCTACATCTTACTCCACTTGGTCTAACCACATAGCACGCTGTGCTTTTCTGCGTCTTGTACCGGCCGGATTTGAGGAAAACACCATTTTTGCGGGATTGTTGTCCGGCATTCTTACAACGTGTCCCGTCCATTGTACCCTTCCAATTTTAGCGACTTTCTGGATATTGGGTTCGCCATAAAGTTACGCCAGTTCGTGGTTCATTCCTAAATAGAGCTGGAACTAGGGCGTAACAGCTTTTGTAATCAATGACTTCTCTCGATGATTTCGCGGATGTCATGGCTCTCCAAGGCGAATCCACATCACCATCGATTAGAGAAAGACTTCTACTGCCCGATGGATATGTTGGTTTTTGTAGGCGTGTCTTGAATTCCGAGAAATCAACAAGAGAAGTCATTGTTTACAAAGGCTGTTACGCCCTAATTCCAGCTCTATCTAGATTCTTCTACTCCATTCACCATTTTCTTATACCCTCTGCCAAAGATGGTCCTAAGCACGCGTCGTTCGAAAACTCCCAGTGCTCCTCGAGCATTGTCCATTGTCATATTTTTCATGTACAATAATTTTGTTTATTATATATTTGCAGTTCGTTTGCAGCAATTTTTGGAGCGATCCGTGAAGGGGAAGGCTTGCCACTTGTATATCCGAACAGTGGACCAAACAAGCCAGCAACCCCGTCAAAAATGTCATGCATTATTGACAAATTGGCACAGTGAGTCGATTTAAAGGGAGATCTGGAGGCGCAGCGATCACATTGTCATGATTGTCTGGTAGTTCACTCAAAAATGCTATAACAATCGCCAAGCTCGCTGTAATGTCACCAAGTGCCTCGTCACCCACGAATAGGCGTCTATGTCAGTGGTCTAACAACTCTTAGCGCGCTAATGGCATAGTTCCCCTGCCGCATAGAGAGTTGCCACAATGATATTAGGTTAGCTAAGGTCAGTTAACTGACTGGTGGGAAACGGGAGCTTAAGCAATGGCTATTCTTTATGCATTTAAGAGATACACACTAAGATTTTTTTTACAGGAGTCAGTATTTTTTTACTGGGTTTTTGAATTGCTGAAAAAGTCGGTAAAAATTCAAATGACCGTTATCCGTAAGGAATCAATGAAAACGACCAACTTTATTTTCTATCGTTAAATGGGGTTAACAGAACTAAGTATGTACAAGTTCAGAACAAACTTTCTCATTAATAAATTTTCCACAGATTTTTAAACTTTTACCGAACAGTTCCGCAATTCAAAAACTCAGTAAAACCGTACTGACTCCATTAGTGTGTAGTCTACCAGAATGGATGACTTTTTTTTGTACAATTTTATGTTTTCTGATGGTTTCGGTTGTGCAAAACATGAGAATTAACTTTTTCAATACTTTCAATTGTACAAAGCATTAGAGCTAGAAACAAGATCTTGTAAACACTACACACCTTAACTGGTAGTTTGCTAAAAAAAATGCTGCAAAAATCGTCAAGCTCGCTGTAATGTCACCAAGTGCCTCGTCACCTACAAATTGGCGCCTATGTCAGTGGTCTAACAACTCTTAGCGCGCTAATGGCATAGTTCCCCTGCCGCATAGAGAGCTGCCGCAATGATATTAGGTTAGCTAAGGTCAGTTAACTGACTGGTGGGAAACGGGAGCTTCAGCATTGACTGTTATGTACGCATTTTTATGATGTAATCTAACAACAATCGTGTGTAGTGTTTACACGATCATGTTTCTAATTCTAATGTGTTGTAAATATAATTGAAAGCATTTGAAAAGTAAGATTCTAGTGTTTTGTATATCTAAAAACATTAGTAAACATCTACATTTGAAAACATTCAAACAACGTTTACTTTAAACGTTTTGTACATCTGAAAACATCAGAGAACATCAAACACGAAGTACAATTGAAAACATCCGAACAACGTTTAGTTCTAACGTTGTGTACATCCGAAAACATCCAAAAAAAGTTTGGTTCCAGCATCGGGAGGCATCTACGTTAGAAAACATCAGAATACATTTACATATAAAAACATCCGAACAACGTTTAGTTCTACCGTTTTTTACATCCGAAAACAACCGAAAAACGTTTGATTCTAACATCAGGAAGCCTCTACATTAGAAAACATCAGAAAACGTTTACATATAAAAACATCCGAAAAACGTTTAGTTCTAACGTTTTTTACATCTGAAAACATCCAAAAACGTTTGTTTCATCTACATTAGAACACATCAGAAAACGTTTACATTTGAAAACATCCGAACAACGTTTAGTTCTAACGTTTTGTACATCTGAAAACATCCTTAAAACGTTTGGTTCTAATGTTAATAGATTGAAATTTTTGACGTCAGACCGACATTAGAATGGCAAAATTTTGTTCCAAAATTTCTGATGTATACACCATGTTACGTTGCTTAAATACAACTAAATCATAATGTTTCCTAATGTTTGACATCAGGCATACATTTGATTTCGATGCTGATGTAGACATCAAAATCAAACGTTGGGCTAATGTAAATTTCTATTCGGGAAGTTTTACAGATAACATCAGGGGTGTGTGGATTCATGCAGAACATGCAGGGGTGAGTGAAATAGCTTGGGACTGCTTGGGAGCGTTGTTCTGGTACTGAGTGAGCCAAAAATAATAATGATTTTCTTCGGGACCCAGTGGTCTTAGAGTTACCTCTATGTTATAACTCTGTAGTCTGAACGTACTATTATACAGCTAATATTTGCCTGTATAATCTAGTCTGCAGCTAAAATTGTTTGTTGGGCTGTACCAACCGGTGGAAACTAAAGATTTAAAATTGGCTCACTACTTGACTAGCCTATTGGTTCCAAGCAAACGATTAACGTATCCCATTCTAGTCGAAATTCTAGTACTATGTGTGGATAACTGACCATCAGCTGGAAAGGAATCTGCCGGAATCTGCGCACGGCTTACCTCCACGGTGGTTGGTGATTGAATGACACGAGAATGCAGTGTCCAGTTCGTTGTCCTCGCAACGCTCATCATGGCTGACTACGAGTCCCTGCGATAGTTCTGAATGTTCAGCACACTGTACGGAGAAGCATTGGGTGCTCTTTGCACCCACACACTATGCAATGTTTGTTTTGATTCGCTATGAAAGTTTGACAGATAAAATGAGGGATTAGTGGATTTTCCTATGTTTCGAGGGGTGAATCGATTAGCTTGGGACCGAAGAGAGTACCAGAGTTGAGCACGTTATTTCGGGACCTTCTTGTCTTAGAGTTACCTCTATGTTATAACTCTCCAGTCTGTACATCGTTTTATACCCTGGACAGACTATGGCTTATATCATGTAATATAAGCTATCTTACAATGAGCACTCATACATCTAGTTTTCACTGGAAATCCTATGTATGAGTGCTCATTGCAAGACAGCCTATATTACATGATATAAACCATAGTCTGTCCAGGGTATTAGAGTCAGGATGGGACTGATATTCGATTATTTTGCTCGATGGGACAAACTGGCCTGATGTTGTTTTCACATTTTTCATGATCAAAGTACTTAGTTTTCTCCTCGGTTTTATCACATAATATGAAAGTAGATGCCAATCGATAGTGGATAAGGTTGTTATCTCAAAATTGATGAAAATTCATATGGGACTGATATGCGATTATAGGCCGAATAGGTAGTATACGACCCATTGTGCTACTAATTTCAAGCTTCGACCGCTTCGACCAAGCACCTGACTCTCCAACGAGAGACTAATATTTTCTCCTCTCAGTCCTCTTTACGAAGAATGCAAAGAATGGAATATTTTGTTCGCTTGGTCTTGGTTGGTACATTTTCATGAATGATAACGCAAACATATTTACTAGGTACTAGGAGATGAGAGTGAACCGCTTAGCTCCATGGGAGAAACAAATCAGTGACGTCAGATTCGGGTTGGACTTGATTGCGTATTTTTTGCCTGCTATTGCCGATTGTGATAAGTACCTCTAGTGCCTCTTTGCTGAACAAGAGTACATATGTAGCAGATTGCCTTCGCAACCAGTTGTTAATAATCCAGCCATATGCAGTTAGGTACTGTCTAGTCACTAGCAGCCAGGCGAGCCCATACCAGTCAGTGATATTCGTGTCGAATGTACTATTAGGTTGTGACTCTGGCTTCAATCTGTGCGAAAACAATGTCCCAAAACTTTTTCATATCCACGCGTAAAATCATTGGGGCTGGCGTAAATTACAAGTAAGTAAATGGTATATAAGTAATTGAAGATTCGGAATGACTCTGCTAATTTGATGCCACATTGCAGAGAGATCCTACGCCTGTCGAATGCTGCCAAACCGGACAATCCAGTGATATTCTTCAAACCGATTTCGTCGCTCATTTCGACCGAAGAGGACACCATCAAGGTCATTGCCGCCAGAGTGGTTCGTTATTCGTATTGAACACATTAAACTGGGTGTAGTGTTTTTTGTGCAGGTCCCCAAGGTGTTCGGTGCCATCAACTACGAAGCCGAATTGGGAGTTGTTATCGGCAAGAAGTGCAGCAATGTCAGCCCCGATCAGGCGATGAACTACGTGTCAGGGTACTGTCTGGCACTGGATATGACCGGTATGGACTTTATTTTGGACGCTCGGCCCAAAGGACTTCCCTGGTGCCTAGGTAAGGGGTTCGACACGTCCACGCCGGTGAGCAGACTTATTGCCCCGGAAGAGCTAGGCAATCCGAACGATGTGCGGGTGTGGTGCAAGGTCAACGATCAGCTGAAACAGGACGATAGGACTTGTAATTTGATATTTACGGTGAGCCGCGCGTTAATTCATCTACCGTGTGCAAAACAATAGTTCAACTTTATGTTTGCCTTTGACGTTGAATTTTGAATTGTGAAGCACACTTTAACTGTTTAAATCATCCATGCACAAACTCTATCTTTACCAGATTCCCGAACTGATAGCCTACGCGTCGAAGTACATGACGCTGGAGGAGAATGATTTGATTCTGACGGGCACACCGGCCGGAGCAGGTCCAGTCAAACACGGAGACCTTGTCGAATGTGGACTAGGTGATATCGTACAAATGAAGTTCAAAGTTAGAGATGAGTAAAACTTCCCACTGTATATTGCCGGATGCTACAAATATGCCAGACGTTACGAATGATAGCAGAGGTGGCTCGGCCACGCTGCTCTGCGATGCGGATTATGGATTTTAATCTTGTTTTGTTTTACCTATATGATATCAGATTTTTTAAATAACACCTAAGCTCTCATATCACAATGAAAGTTTCAAGGAAAGAGTACCACAGATTTACATTCTTCTAAAAATAGATTAAAGAGAACAATCCTGCCGGATTACGCTCATTTGCTATCCTTGTCTTCGTCTTCTAGTAACATTTTTGTATCCGATTCGATTTCGTTTGTCAGTTCCTCCGTTTTGAAAACGGGTTTCCTATTCGAGCTGGGTGATGCCACCTCGCCGCAATACGGGAGATAGCAAAATCGCGAATCCACCGCCGGGTAATATAGCCGATAGCTGAGATAGCCTACGGATAGACCGATCAGCGAACCCATCGTCACGTCCTGCCAATGATGATGATAGTCACAGGTACGACTGATGGCTACCAACAACGCCGCAAACAGAGGGAAAATTCCCACCAGCAAGCGCCACGATTGACCCCTGCCTCGTTCGGTGAAAGCATGGAGCTTGGCAATCAGGTACCACGCCAGGAAGCCTAGAGCCGCGAATGCAACTGGAATTCAAATTGAAACATTAAAAATTTATCAAAAAACCATACCGACCGCATACAACTTACATGAAGAATGCCCACTGGGAAAGCTCTTGAGTCCATCTTTAACCGTAACGGAATCCCCGGTGCACACCATATCCGCATTCACCAATCCATTCGGAAAGCAACGGTAGAAAAAGTCCGGCCTCGGTCGGCCGACTGCCACCTTGATGACGTCGGTTATGGCTCCATTTAGGGTGCAGGCCAAAGAGAAGCCCAACCAGGCGCACTTGAAATCGTGGAAGTCCCGACTGCGAATGTAGTACCCGATGATGACCACACCAACCAGGCCAAACACCGTCGGGTACAGCAAGGACAGTGGAACATAGCTCGGAGTGATGGGATTTTTGTAGAGCCACCATTCCTCCGGATGGATCAACCGGACGAAGGGTTCCTGCACCTCGAAGTAGCTGTTGGTGAGAAGGGAAAGGGAAAAAAAGTTGCTCTAAAAAGTTCATTTGATGTTTATTAGCCCCAATGGATTAGAGGTGTTTGGTATAATGGACACATAAGTTAGAGCAAAAGAGACCTTTCACGGGAATGCCTTGGTGCATTGAGTGGAGTTAGATATTCAAGTGTATCGTTTCGCGAATGAGTTGATTTCATTTCTCGCTTAGACCAGAAATTTTATAATACCTACCTCAGACAGCGAATTCAACTTTGACGACAATCAAAACCAATGTCGGGTTCTAGTAGAAAATGAGATGTTTCAAAATATGTTATGCTATTTTCAAAGGGTAAATTTTAGGTTACAATTTGATTTCCGTTTTTGTATTTTATATGGACTGTTTCAATTTGAAACTAGAACAGAAACGCATCTCTCGCAATGCTGAGTTGCAGTTTCATTATTCGAACACTATTTTGCACCAGATTTGCAACTGCTCGACTATTCTGTTTTATTTCTGAGCGAGTTTGAAACACGAATGGAACTCTGTTTCAAATTTCTTTGGATGTATTTAAAGATGTTTCGAAGAGCTTCACAAAAAAAACGGAGAACTTCATAGAGAATAGTAAAGTTTATGGAACATGATGATTACAAACATCTTTTAGAACTGTGCGTTGCGCTGATCGTGTTGCAGTTTTATTTTTGACAGGTATAGAATTGACCACTTTGTCAAGCAGTTTTGACGTGACTTTCTACCAGCGATTTCACAAAACTGGACCAACTAATTTCTATTTTTTTATGAAACGCACAAATGTTGGCTACTTTTCTCGAGGTTCTAGAAGAAAAAATCTCAAAATAATGTTTTATTTCAAAGTTCGAGTGGTAGTAAACGTCATTTTATCTGCTCGAATAATTTTCATTCGACTCATCCAGCAAAATAGCCGCATTTTTTGTTAGGGAAGGTAAACCGATTCCACTATTCAATAATGTCATGTGTATGGTTTGACTGATTTTTTTATTTTCCAGTGTGATTGGCCGAAAGATGCCGTAATAGCTTTGATCTTGACATGGTCAACAAAGCAGTTTTTATATAATACGAAGCATGTATTGTATAAGAATAAGCATGTCAAACAGCAGGTCAGGAATTTTTTTAGAGCTTCAGAGAGGTTCGGAGATCTTAAGAACAAAACTGCAACACTTCAGCAAATTTTACAAAAATCAAAAGAAATTAACAGAAATTCATAAAAAAAAATCACAAATTTATAAAAATATGAGCGAAATTTTGCAAATCTTCAGGGAAATTCGCATATCTTCAGACAAGTCCAAGAATCTACAGTTAAATATAAAGTATTTCACAGAAGTTTTGAGATCTACTGAAAAATTATTCAACATCAGAAAAGTTCGTAGATCTTCAGAACAAAGCTACAGAACTTTGAAAAAATTACAAAACTTCTGAAAAAATCACAAGAATGGTCATAGATCTTCAGTAAAATGTGTACAACTTTAGAGAAGATCGGCGATTAAAAAAATATTTATACGATTTCAGGGAAATTTGTAGATCTTGAGAGAGACATTTTAAACTTAAAGGAAGCTCAAATATTTTCAGAAATTTTTGAGAACTTAAGGTAATTGAGAAGATCTTCAGAGAAATTTTCAGATCTTCAGAGTAGCCCGAGAGCCTGCAGAGGAATTTACAAAATTTCAGAGAAGTTTGCAGATCTACTGAGAAATTTATTGAGCCTTAAGGTTTTTTTTGTAGATCTTGAGAATAGAACCAACAATCAATACGAAACTAACGATTTTAAATTGGCTCACTACTTGACTAGCCTATTAGTCCCAAGCAAATCGATTAACGTACCCCATTCTAGTCGAAATGCTAGTACTACACTATGTTTATTTTGATTCGCTATGAAAGCTTGACAGATAAAATGAGGGGTTCGTGGATTTTCCTATGTTTCGAGGGGTGCATCGATTAGCTTGGGACCGAAGATAGTACCAGAGCTGTGCCAAAGAGATGAGCTCGTTTCTTCGGGACCTTCTGGTCTTAGAGTTACCTCTATGATAGAACTAAGGTCCTTCAGACAACTTTACAGAACATTAAAGATATTTGCAGGAATTTTTCAGAAAGCTTCACAGTTTCAGAAAAATGTGAGATCTTCAGAAAAATTCGCAAAATGTCAGAAAAGTACCTCAATTCCAAAAACAAATCGCAGTGAAGTTCAAAAGTCCAAGATTTTGCAGAATTCCACGGAAGTTGGAAATAGATAGATCTGAAGAACTTCAGAGAAGTCGCCAGACAGTTCGTACGTTTTTAGAAAAAAAATTCAAAAGTTCAACAATACTCACAGAACTTCGGGAAAGTTCGCCGATCTTTATTAAGTACTAGCTGAGTGTACCCGGCTTTGCTCGGGATTCCATATTTCCTTAAGTTCATGTTCTGACTAAAAAAATCCTATCCTCTTAGTCGCAAGCAATACGAATCATGCTAGTTAAATTAATTAGCAACTGCGAGACTTTATCATCTTTGTTAATTGTAAAGGAATCAATAAATTACATGCTTCTAGTATCTTTTGTAGCTTGCTGTTATTACGAATCTTGCTGTTATTAGTTCTCTATAAGCAAACGCATCAAATATCAAATAAGCTAATTATCGGATTCACACACAAGGACCCGTTCAAATATTACGTAACGCGAAATATTTCATTTTGTATGGTGAAACATTTCATTTTGTATGGAAAGTGAAATATTTCACGTTACATTATACGTGAACGGCCCCCAACACAACTGAACCGTATCTATGTCCTTACCTATACGTGATTTCAAAATTATCGACGGATACTCAAGTGTTTCATGTTATTAGGTACTGCACCGTCGGCGGCTAATCTCAAATTTTGACAGTTTGGTGGTACTGTTTACATAGACTTAGCCGATATTTTGTTAAGTGGATTTTTTCAATAATTTTTCTTTTCATCGCCTATTTCCTCGTTATTTTTTAAATGAAAACTCGAAACATCAAAAATATTTTTTCGAAAAAAATTCTAAGTCCGGTGAATTTTACCACTAAACTGTCAAAGACTTCATGCGTGACGTCATCTTGTAGTACTCAATTTAAAATTTGCTCGGTGGACTGAGCTGAGGAAAATCATCTTCACGGTGAATAAAAGAGCAGCCGATTTGTTTGACGTAAATAGAACAAAAATGAACACATCAAATCGAAGAGGGATCTCTCGCTGAATCAAGAAAGGCTGAACAGCACAGAAGCCTGAACAGCACAAAAAGCTGAAAAGTACGAATAGCTAAATGCTAAAAACCTGCAAAAAACAGCGAATTAACGTACATCGAAGACCGAAGCTTTAAGTACCTTTTAGTAAACGAATGTTCGTTGCTATACTTCTCTGACTAAAAAAACACGGGAAGGACAATAAATCAGAGAGCAAAGCAGTAGACAAACGTTTTTCAAAGGTTAATGGAGGAAAGAAGCTTATAGTAACTGCATATCTGTCGCTACGCTCCTCTGACTATAAAAAAACACGGGCATAACAGTAAATCTGAGGGCTACCCAGTAGAAGAGCATTTTTCAAGGATTATTAGAAAAAAGAAGCTTTAAAGAGAGGCTTTTAATAAACGCATGCCCGTCTCTTTAACCCATTTAACCCAACAGAGAATACCGTTTACTTTTCGAATATGAGGAAAATCGAGAGAAGTATCATTAACCTAGGGCTATACTAAAAGACTGAGTGAAACCTCTCTAGATTTAAATTTAAATCGATTTCTGGCCTGTACACGTCACCTCCTTTCCGAAAATACCCAGATTGTAGGGTATTTGAAATATTTTGGATAACGGAAAGTGTCCATCTGCCAATGATAGATTATCAAATGGCATGGATTCAGGGGCGCTTTTGACGTCACATGACCGCCGATCTTTAAATTCATTCCAGCATCTTGTATTTGGATTTGAGAAAGGACATTTTCTTTCCGACATAAATAAATAAATGATGAAAAAAAAAATTAATCTGTTTCGCTTCAAAGTGAAACATAGAAAACTCCTCTATATAGTACAACTTTAAACTTAGCACCTTTATGGCCTCTACCTTTTGGAGGGTCACAATAAAACTACCGTCCCCTATGGATAAAAAAAATTCGCACATTTTTCAATCGTTCAACATATTTTCAGTGCATTTTTCACGGTATATTATTGGTGGTGTGCAACTTTTTCGTGTCGTGCAAAATTTTTCATTTTACGCAACATTTATTGTGTCGTGCAACATTTTCCATGTCATATGACATTTTACATGTTGAGCAATATTTCTCATTCCGAGCAACCGAGTTTTTATTATTTCACGCGAAATAAGTCGTTTCGTGCAACATTTTTCATGTCATGCAACATTTTCCATGGCGTGCAACATTCCTTTTGCCGTTCAACATACCCCGATCGCGCAACATTTTTCAACATATTCATTGTCACGCAACATTTTTGGTGTCATACAAAAAATTTCATTAAGTTTAAATTTGTTCTGTCATGCAACATTTTTACGTCGTGCAACATTTTCAATATTTCGCAACATGTTTCATGCCGTTTATTATTTTTAATGTCGTGCAACTTTTTTTTCTCACGCAACATTTGTTGTGTCGTTAATCATTCTTATGTCGTGAAATAATTTCCATGTTGTGAAATATTTTTCATTTCACGCAACATGTTTCGTGTCGTGTAACAATTGTCATATCATGCAACATTTTTAAAGTTGCGTTATATTTTTCATGTCATGCAATGTTTTCTATATTTTGAAAAAAACTGTCGTATCCTGCAACATTTTCATGCCTTGCACCATTTTCCATGTCGTGCATCATTTTCCATGTCGTGCAACATTTTTCATGACAAACAACATTTTCTATGTCACGAAACATTTTTATGTAGTACAACTATTAACGTAGCTTAGCATTTGTTATGCTGCGCAGCATTTTTACTTTCGTGCTACATTTTTCATATCGTGCAACATTTTTCATGTCACGCAGCATTTTTTATTT